CGGCCCGCGGGGGAAGGAGCGCTGGCCCCGCAGGGCTCCCCGCGGCCACCGGCACCCCGGGAAAGCTGCAAAGCAGGAAAGAGAAAAAAAACCAAAACAACAATAAACGGGGCCGGTCCGTTCCGCAGCGCCGGGGAGGAACCGCCGAGGCTTAACTTTCGGCCGAGACGCCGGAGGAAATTCCCCGGGATAAAGGCGGCGGGAGCGGGCTCCAGCGCAAAGCCCGGCCGGGCAGAGGGGTCTCTCCCCCGGAGCCCTAGGAAGGGCTTCCAAACCGGGGCCAGACCCGAGGCAAAGCGACAAAATAAACCCATCTCCCGGGCGTGAGCACAGCTCACCTTCCCCCACCCTCGCCAAACACCTCAAACTCATACCTCTAACTAGGATCCTCCTGCAATAGTCCGGATCAGCCGAACTAGATTTACTTTTATTACAACCTTCCGTAGCTGCAGAGGCAGAAAAAGTCCCTTGCTGATCCTTCAAAAAAGAAGTAGAAATATTTCCTTCAGACCCTTTGCTTTCCTTGCCCTCTTTATGTCCGTTCTTCGAGACCCGGTTAGCTTCAGTCTCTGAACTGCATCTAACGTCCATTTTGTCTTGTTTCCCAAACATGTAGTGCAATAAAAACAAAACAAAACCAAAAAAAAAAAAAAAAAAAGCGCCAACAACGATAACAAAAAAATTATAGAAGAGTAGAAGAAGAAGAAGAAGACGAAGTCTATGCTGGATATTGCACGACTTAGGGTGAGATCGGTGGGGAACTGTAAAGCACCTTGAGTAAGGAAGATCGGGTTTTATCCCACTGGAAAAGCAGCGGCTTCCTCAGTCCCAGCGTCCTAATGTGACTGTCCAGCTTCCCAGAGCGCCCAGTGATCAGGTACTCAACAGTACAACTCTAAAATGATTTAATGTCTGCCTTATTACAGAGACATGTAGTTGTTAGACACACAGAGGGACGCGCACTCGCTGTTTCAATTGATTACGGGTAATTTTGCAGCCTCCACATTTAGGTTACCTCATGAATACACTAAATTGTTTGGATAATATATCAGATCGTAATGGATGGTTTGTGTGCTTGTCCCCAATCAAGTAGAGTTTAGCCAGTGAATAAACTGAAATGATTGGTCTTGCTTTCAGGAAACACACAATCAAAAGACTGAGACTTCCAGAAAAAAAAAAAAAAAAAAAAAAAAAAAAAAAGGAGAGAGGAAAAAAAGGGTGGGGGAGAGGGGAAAAAAACCAAAACTTTTGACAAGATTCACCCTGAATTGTTAGCACCATTAGCAGCCATTATTAACTTTCTTCAGTCTGCCTTTGACCTCCCGATTATATAGTGGCTTTCTCCAAAGCACGCCAAATAAATCTGAATAAAGCTGCTAGGAAGGGCTGAAAAAATGCAGTTGCAGGGGGGGTGAAGAAAAAGAAAAAAAAAAAAAGCCCCCTGAATTCTAAACAAACAAACAGATCCCCAGCACGCATACACATGAAAAGTTCTTCCTTCAAGCAGATCTCTCCAAGGAAGCAGGTTATCTTGGCCAGCAGAAATCCTCGTTAACACATCTCCCCACAGACAGCCATCTTAAACTCCTACCTCTCCTTATTTCAGTCCCGATACTTGCTTTTTGTGCTTCTCCCTCTGTGTGTGTGTGTATGTGTGCGTGCATGTGTGTCTGCTAATTCTGCACCTTCGCAAACACTGAACCTATTCGCAGAGCCTGCTCATTGAAAAAAAAAAAAAAAAAAAAAAAAAAAAAAAGCCAGCTTTGTGTGCAGTGGATCCAGGAGGGGGGAGAAAGAGAGAGGGGGAGAAAGAGGGAGAGAGGGAGAGAGAGGGAGGGAAGGAGGGACAGAGAGAGAGAGAGAGAGAGAGAGAGATAGCCCGTGAAAAATCTCAACTGCGTGATCCACTAAAGGAGAAAAAAGTTTTACTCTAGCTATTTCATTGTCTCTGCTACAATATCTTTGAGAACCGCAACAGCCAGTAATCCAATAAGACCATTGATTAGGCTACAATGATTCAATTCAAGCAAATGGCCTTGTGCAAAGAGCATGCTCCAGTCCTTCTTGTCACCTTGCAGGGCAGAAGCCCTCTTCATGCTTCTCTCCTTATTCATTCCTTTATGGGAAATGTAGAGCAAAAGGAGTGAAAGATGGCAATTATCTAATTGGACTATTAACAAACAATTCTCTGAGTGTGGCTGTCTGGCAGTGGTTCTTGGGCGAGGTGAAAGGCCACATGTTGCACTGGCCCCATTCACAAAGAGTTTAGGGGCCTGAGAGGGAGAGAAAGAATTTTCCCTGAGAATTTTTCACACAAATGGCGCTGTATCCACCAGGCTGGCTGTTCCCTGCCTCGTCCTCTGCCTGCCTGGGCCACTGCCTGGGAATTGCACCCACCTGAAGCCGGCAGGGCCAGCCCTGGCTCTGGCTGCAGATGAGAGCAGAGGGCAGACGCAGAATCCGGCACCCTCGCCAGGGCTGCTCAGCTCCATGGGCCTCATCCTGCCTCTGCTGATGGAACAACCATCCATCCTCATCCCATGGGACCCAATCCTTGTCCAAGGTTGTGTAACCGAGGGAAGGATCCAGTGCTGGGGCCTTATCACCGTGCACAGGGAATTCATGGCAGGCTAAAAAAGAACGGGGGCGGAGGGGGGTGGTAGGAAAGGAAAGGAAAGGAAAGGAAAGGAAAGGAAAGGAAAGGAAAGGAAAGGAAAGGAAAGGAAAGGAAAGGAAAGGAAAGGAAAGGAAAGGAAAGGAGAAAGGAAGAAAAGGAAAAAAAGAATGATAACATGGCAGTTCACAGGTACATTTCACTGAGTTGTCTTTAGTGGAAATCTCAAATCTTTGTCATTTTTCCACAAATCATAGCATCAATTATTTATATTGCCATTGTCTGAAAAGTCAGATTGAGATTGGTGAAGTGTACGTAAGATCTTCATCAAAGCCCCTCATTTCAACTGTGTTTATGCACACAACCAACCATGGAACATCCTCATTATGGACCAGGTTTCATTTTTCCTTGCAGCCAATGCATCTCAGTGATCTGTGGTGCTCTGTTGTTGTTAGTTCCTATCCTACTTGTACAGCACTCATAGCCAGGGGCCCCAGACAAACCACAGCCCCACTGTGCAAGGCTTCATGCAGCTACAGAGAGAGGATGGAACATTTCCTCCAAGGATTTGTAGGGCTGCTCAAAGGCTTGTTGGGTGACAGGATGCTCAGGAAACAGTACATTTCAGAGAGATTTGGGCTTTCAAACAGAGAAGCAACAAGTGGGTGCTGATTAGGGAAATTTTTCATGTAGCTGAATATAGTCTGGGCTTAGCAGGCCAGCTTTGTTGTGTGATATAGATAAACATACACATGTGTGTGTGAGCACAGGCAAGGCACCATCAACAGTCCCAGCTGGACGTGTCTGTTTAATGCTAAACAAAACAAGGTTCTGCTACAAACATTTTTACCTAACAGATTTTATTTTAGACAGAATAGGCACAGTGATTCCCATAAAAGGTTTACTGTGAAATGCAGAGGCAATTCTATTTGCATAGGTGTGTGGGTGTATGTATGACATTTCCCCCCATAGTTTTCTTTATGCTAATCTCTATGCATAGGCCATAATAATAAACATGGAGCTATTGAACTCAATTACACTGTTTGAAGCAGAATATCTGGAGATTAAATATTATGTTTGTGTGATAATCTGGCTTTTTTTTTTTGCTCTTTTTTTTTTGACAAGTCCCTCATCCAAAGCTCACTAAAGACCAGGGGAATTTTGTTCTACTCTTGCCATATTATGATAAATACATTTCAAGGATCTTTTTGTCCACAGAATTTAGTGGTATAAAGAGGATTTTCCCAATTGAATCAGTTAAATTTACTTTCACACATTATGAACATAGCACTGTTGAAGATCTGCAAATTCAAATAATGAGTCTAATCCTGCAGGAAACTTGTAGTGAGCAGACAAGCCTGTCCAAACACAGCTCAGTTACTTTAATTGAGGCCCGCTCATCTGCAACAAATAGCAACATCCAGAAGAGCACTGGGAAAATCAGAACTTTACCATTTACAAAAGCAAACTTTTATTTAGTCCAGCAATCACTAAATTTCCTTTCACCTATTCTCATTATTTTTTTCCCCACAATATGCTTAAATAATTCTTGACTGTTATGTTCTTTCAGAACATAATATGTCCCTCTCTTACTCCCATAACTTCAGGGATGTCTGTAGCTTCAGCACTCTCACATCCACACTCATGTGTCACTGGATAAGCAGATTAAAGGTTACTTATTTTCCCTTCAAGTAATGCTTAAAATGCCTTAGCACACTACACAGGTACTACCTGGCTGAGCTTTGCTGTGTAGACCTTGCTGCTTTTCAAATACAATTTTATTAGTCTGCATTAGCTTGTAGAAGACTGAAAAATCAGTTTCTCATTGACTGCCACTATTTTTATTATTTTTATCTCTATTTCATGTACAGGGGAGATGTACATTATAGCTACTAGTTCTTATACTCTTCTTTGTTGATGAAAGAAAAAGTTTCAAGCCAAAAAGCATGGTCCAGAGATCTTCAGATTTATAGGGTTTAATAGACCTAAGCAGATTTTTATTCCATTTATTTCCTGATTATTTTGGTTCAGATTATTTGCTTTTGAATTTACAGATGCCTTTGGCAAGGAGCTGCTAGGCCTTCTTTGGATGCTTGTTTAGCACAGGGGATGTGAACTGGTTCCTTGGGGCTGAGTAATTTCCTGATTATTTCCAATTAACAGAGAGTATGGTGGTTACTCATAATGATACACGTGGCAATGTCAAGGAATCACTACAAAGAGCCAAGAAAAGCCTCATTATGTGCACCAATGTTACATTTCTCTTAGACAGGGCGTTCCTGTCCAGTGGGAGTGACACTGTGTCAGTGCAGAGGAAGAAGATCATCAAGATGAAGGTTCACCAGAAGGTTCTTCTTTCCCACAAGCCTCAGTGATGTGTTGACCAGCAGGAGCACCAAGCACCTTCTCAAAACAAAGTGCACAGGATAATTAAAACTCTTGTGCTTTTGCAATTACTTGCTGCTGGTGAGGAAATTTCCTTACAACAGAAGATGAGCTCTGGAAATTTCAAAATGTAAATGCTGCTGTGTATTTAGGGGACATTTAGAAGGCATGTGCTAAGCCCTCTGCTGCAGATAGTGATTTGCTCCAGTGTGAATTGTCTTCATCTCCTGCAAGAGAGCCTGGAAAATGGACTTGTCCCACACAGGGGAGCAGTATCCTTGAAGAACAGAAATGTGTTTCTATCTGGAAACTTTACACTTTTACCTTTGAAAGAAAGGATTTAAGTCTTTGACTCAGTTCAGCTCTCTGTGTGAAGTGGAAGGTAAGCTTGTCATGTTTGTGGTAGTCGGCATGGCTAGAAACAGCTCTAATTCCACTTTCCCAGACTTTCCAAGGACTGATGCTCAGGTACATTTGTGTATTTCAATGGCAGGTGGGCCCCTGGGTCATGATATAAAAGATGTACATGGTGTATTTCATGTGAAATTAAACGTCACAGGCTCACAAGAAATCTAATGGGTACAACAGCAAGAAAAAGAAATTTCCTCTCTGCCTTTTAAGTGGGCAACA